TTTGTTTTGAAAATTTTTAAATAAAGTGAATTTTTTTTTCAAAGTCTAAAATTTCCAAAAACTAAATTTCACAGCAGCCAGATAAAAAAAATCTGTAAAGMAGCCAGGAGTGTAAACGATGACTCAGCATTCAGACAATTAATTTATTGCATTGTGTGTCATGGAAAACAAAGCACGGACAGAACAAAGCTAACGAACAACGAGCCGAAACGTCAGCGAGGAGCTAACAATCAGCTGCAGCCAGAAGTTTCCACTCATTTTCCCAAACATCCAAACTAATTTCCTCCATCTGAGGACGACAAATCAGTGTCGCTCAGTCCAATTAACGCTGGCAAACAGAATTACCAGCTGCAGTCGATCATAATCACTACTGATTAAGCCTTAATGGACCTTCTGGAAGCTTCAGCACCAACAGAAGTAAATAAATGTATAGATCCATCTGGTTCTGATAAATCATAACAATTTTAATCCAACCTTTTATAAAGGCAGGTGGAAATGATTTGTTTTATTTTGGTGAGTTTGTTTTCTGCTGTTTTCTTTTAATGCACCTTCTTGCTGATGACATTTAAATCTGATCTTCTTCATCTCTTCCTGAAGTGAAAAGAAATGAAATCATCTGATTCAGTTTGGAGCCTCCAGCTGGAAAAACAAACCTCAGAAGATAAAAGCCGAGTCATAAAGGTCTCCTTCTTTTGTTTATGGGCCTAATTGCTGCTTTAATAAAGGTTGTTATTGACTGAGCAGATCTACAACCATGACGCAGGTTGGAGGATGACGCACGGAGGGGGCGGGGCTTAATGGTTCCTACACTGCAAGAAACATGGAAACWTTTAGTTTCCCTGTCTTTGAAATGTGTTTCACTCCCTGAGAAAAGATTTTATGTATCATTTCCTACACTTATTTACAGACTCCCTTTTATACATGKTTAAATGTTTATTATTTGTTAGTTTTCTGGTTTTATTGCAAATTTTAAAACACATTTTGTATCATCAAAGAAACAATAAATTTTTTATTGTTTTACTTTTATTGGTTTTGTCGTGTAATTTATTATATTTATTTAATGTTTTATTTAAAAAGTAAATTTATCTTTTATTTACAGTTTATT